GTTAAAGCAATGTGAAACTACATTAATTCTGCAGTGTGGCAGCAGCTTGAATTTCACCCATTCCCCTGAAAGGCTTAGGTTCCTGTTCCAGGTTGTTTGTTCCGCTTACTGCAAAGAGAGGGATACACCGCAATATTTTATTTCCGGTCACAAGTCTATAAAATTTCAAAAAACCATATTCCTCTACAGTGCAGCCTCCCTCGTTTTCAAGTTTAAATTATAACTCCAAGGAGCAGGGAACCTTTTTGTACCCATTGTCTTCCTTTGTAAAGCACCATGTAAATAAGAAAAAATATTACATTCCCCAACCCTGGGGCAATTTGCCTAGAATACTGCAAGGGATGTGAAAATTTCAAGCTTGAGGGATCTGTTCTGTGACAGAGATGGATGAGAATTGTGTTTGAACTTTTTAAAATCTTCAAATTTTACCATAAAGTTTGACTAAAAGAATTAGAAATTTAAAAGTTTTGAATATGGGAGAAAGTGCAATGTTTCACTCTCACCGAACCTGGCCTTTGGATCTCTAGTCAGTGGAGCTGGGGAAAGTTACTTTTTAAAATCTATGGGGGGTTGCAGACTGCCAGAAATAGTGCAAATTGAGTCCACTTTTAGGGTTAGGGTTAGGGTTAGGGTTAGGGAATCATGGGAACTGTATTTTATTGTGGCACCAGAGCTCTCTGACAGAGAAGGCTCAATGTCTCAGAATAAAACAATTCCCATGATTCCCTAGCACTAACCCTAACCCTTAAAGTGGACTCAATTTGCACTGTTTTTGGCAGTCTGCAACCCCCCTATGACTCCCATTAACCCTTACATAGTAGGCTGGAGTACTCTGGGACTTGTAACTTTTCCAGCCTTTGGGTATTCAGCCATGTTTCTGGTGCTGAGTTAGGTTTGTTCTTGTGTGCCTTTTTAAAGTTGTTTTCAGAATCCAAAGTGAACCTATCGTGGGGCTTTCCTGGCAAGATTTGTTCAGAAGAGACTCGCCATTGTCTTCCCCTGAGGCTGAGAGAGTGTGACTTGCCCAAGGCTGCTCCGTGGGTTTCCTGGCCAAGTGGGGAATTGAACCCTGGTCTCTAGCGTTGTAGTCAAACACTGAAACCACTACATCACACTGGCTTTCACTGAATTAGGATTGACACCTATTTTTCCCCCCTTTTTCTGACAGATTCATCTGTCTTGCTCCGGAACTAGGTGTAGTTCCAGGCCTTTCCAAGAATTATTTCGGAGTTGAATGCTGACACATGTCACTGTTATATCACAGGATTTCCTGATGATAAACGATGCAGCAGATGT